CACGGGAGTCAAAGAACCGGTGAGAGGGAGGGTGGTAAAAGGTGAAGTCAGAGGAGTCCTCAGGGAAACCAAGGAAGACACAGGGGACGGCACGAGGCGAGAGCTTGTCCGCGGAGGTGTCGCGGACAAGAGCCAAGCACCCCCAGACACGAAACCGCGACGCAACACCAGGGGACCCTGTCCAAAGACTGGTCGGTGAAACCTCTGGTCGAGAGACACGTGGCCAGAGGTTCAGCTGGTGCGCGGCGTACCTGACCGCGTAGGGCCACAGAAAATGGGGGGCACAGGCGTGAGTCAGGGAGGTGTGGGCGATCTCCATGACCAGGCCTATGCGGCGCTCAGCAACCCCATTCTGTTGTGGGGACTCTGGAAGCGTCCAGGACTGACGAATGCCCTGCTCGCGACAGAATCCAGCGAGAATGCCGGAGCGAAACTCACCCCCACGGTCGGAGTGGAGACAGCTGACACGACGACCACGAGTGTCCTCAGTGGTGAGCAACCACCTGATCAGCGTAGAAGTCACCTCAGACTTCTTCGCCAGAGGGAACACTGTGGTGTAGCGGGAGAAGTCGTCAACTACCACCAGAAAGTAACGCTCACGCTCAGGGCCTAGACGAGGGGCTGGGCCCCAGACGTCCAAGTGAAGCGTCTCAAAAGGCTCGGTGGCCGGACGAAGGGAGGAGGAGTGAGGGGTGGCGCGCAGCCTACCCTCGACGCAGGGACTACACGGCGGCGCAGGCGAAGGCGGCAGCGACGGCAAGACACGTGGGAGGCCTAGGACAAGACGCTGACTAGACATAGCGCGCAGACGTGGAAGGGACGGGTGCCCCATCCGGTGGTGCCACAGAACGGTGGGGTGGGCAAGCGACCGGCAGGAGCACGACGCAGCGACTGGAACAGACGTAGGAACCTGACACGACACAGACACCTGGGGGGACGTAGCAACCTGGTGAGACGCGGGGACCCGAACGGGGGGGGGAACCGGGGGCAGTGGCAGTAGGGGGGGCTGCTGGTGCGGCCGCTGGTGCTGCTGCTGCTGCTGCTGCTGCTGCTGCTGCTGCTGCTGCTGCTGCGGCTGCTGCTGCTGCTGCGGCTGCTGCTGCGGCGCACGCGGGCCAGTGTGAAGAGTGTAGAGACCCGAGCCCGGCTCAGCAGTAAAGGTAGCAAGAGGCTGGTAAGAGTCTCCGTCAACACACACCGCAGTCTCTCCAGAAGGCTCAAACCACACACCCACGTGCTGACTCACGAGGGGTCGCACGCCCACCAAGTTCCGGGAGAACGAGGGGACGTGAGACCCAGTGAGAGACCCGGAGGGAGCAGCAGGACACGGTAAAGTGGTAGTGTGACGTGCAGTGACTGGTCCCGTAGTGGGATCAGCCAACGCTACAGAAACAGGCGCAGGAAGTGGTGTAAGTGTCGTGCTGTCCCGAAAGAAGCAGTGGGAGGCTCCAGAGTCCAGTGTGAACGACAGCGAAGCGTCCTCTGAGGTAGTCGCTGGTCTAGAGTCTACACAAGTACCTACACTAGCAACAGGCAACTGAGCAAGACTAGCACCTAAGCTAACAACACCAGAGTAAACAGAGTCAGAAACACTAGAGTCAACAACAGCATACATAGCATGAGGAGCACTAATCAGATCAACTAACTGCTCAGCAGACATGCCCCACAGAGCGGAGCCGTGGCGCTGAACCAGAGGAAGCCAGTCAGGAGCAGGACCGCCAACCCCGTAGGTCAACCGGACCGTGTCAGTGAGCTGAGCAAAGCACTGACCAGGGGGGTGAAAGCGGCCACAAGGGTGGCCCCGACGAGGACCTGTCTGAACCTGGTAGGGGCAGGGAGGGTAAGCAGCACCGCGCTGGGGCTGACGCCGCCCCGACCCCGGAGCCAGCTGCTGACGCTGCTGCTGCTGAGGCTGCTGGGAGGAAAGGGGCTGCTGCTGCTGCTGAAGGTGCTGCTGACGCTGAGCCTGGTACCACGCCGCTGCTCCACCTAGCGGGGCCGGCAGTACAGGAGGCGACTGACGAGCTCGAGGGTCGCCGCCACCAGCAGGTGCAGTGGAGTCACCAGCCGCTGCACGAGGGGTCTCTCCAGACGCTGCACTCCCACCACCGCCAGTCGCAAAAGCACCCCCACTACCTCCGCTACCTCCGCCTCCACCTCCACCGAAACCACCTTTCTTGCCCCCCCTGCCGCGGGACCGCGACGCAGTCGTAACAGCAGCCGCAGTCGCGTCAGTAGCGGCAGTGGCAAGAGAGGCAGTGAAGGTGGGTAACTGCGGGACTGTGCACCCGTGGAAGAGTGGGGGGGACACAGTACCAGAGGCGGCAGCTACCGAACGAAGGTTGCCCTCGACGTCCTTGAGTGCAGACTCAAGGACCTCGATAGTCAGCTCACTAGGGTGCTTCAGCAGAAGCGCGTCACGAACGGAGGCAAGGCGGTCAGGGAGGCTAGTGGCGATGAAATAGACAGTAATCGCCATGGGGGGAGGAAGCAGTGCAAGCTGTGCCTCAGTGCAAGCAGCGCGGTAACTAGCGTCGAGCGAGCGGAGGTGAGCGATCAAGTCAGCAGAGCGCTCAAACGAGGCAAGATCAGGAAACAGGAACGGGAGGAAAAGACGGCCGAGAGAGACAGTAGCGGGAGTAGAGTAGCGGGCCTTAATCGCAGTGAGGTACGCAGCAGCGGTGCGAACCTGAGTAAAGTGGACCTCCTCGGACTCAGGGAGGAGGCTGCTGAGTGCGATGCAGGCCGCAGCGTCACGCGACGTCCAAGCCGTCCGGTCAGCGCGCTGACGGGCAAAGCGAGCCGTAGCAGCGTCGTCAGGAGCAGGGCCTAAAGCGGTAGGCTCGGGGGGCTCGGGGAGGTCACCAGTAGCGTGTGACCAGAGGGTCTCGCCCCCCTGGACCTGACTCTCTAACAGACGACGAGCGCGAAGAAGCCAGACGGAAAAGTCAAGGGGTCTACCATCAGCGTCGAAACGAAGAACTCGCGGAGTCGCCATAGTGAGAACCAACGCGAACGAACAGGCGAGTAAGAACCGGGGGGGAAGAGGACTCAGTCGCAGCGGAAGAGCGGGCTAGGGCGACGGGCCAAAACGTAGGGTAGGGCAACGGGCCAGGGCCTAGGGTAGGGCGACGGGCCAGAGCCTAGGGAGGGCGACGGGCCAGGGCCTAGGGAGGGCGACGGGCTAGGGCCTAGGGAGGGCGACGCGACGGGGGAAAGGGCGGGAGCGACGCGACGGGGCAGGGCGACGCGACGGGACAGGGCGACGCGACGGGGCAGGGCGGCGCGACGGAGCAGGGCGACGGGACAGGGCAGGGCGACGCGACGGGGTAGGGCGACGCGACGGGGCAGGGCGACGGGACGGGACGGGACGGGACAGGGCGACGCGACGGGACGGGACAGGGCGACGCGACGGGACAGGGCGACGCGACGGGACGGGACAGGGCGACGCGACGGGACAGGGCGACGGTACGGGACAGGGCGACGCGACGGGACAGGGGGGGAACAGGCGGGCGCGACGCGACGGGGGGAACAGGCGCGACGCGACGGGGGGAACGGGCGCGACACGACGGGGGGAACGGGCGCGACGCGACGGGGGAGATGATGCTAGGCTCGGTACTAGGCGCGGTAACAACTAAACTGGTACGAACGAGAGGTAGGATCAGGCTCGGGAGGTACGAACGGAGAACGGAGGAACGGGATCCCACAGGATCCTAACCTAGCTGATACCATGTTAGAATGAGGAATGGGTGTTGCATTGATGTTGGTTGGGGTACATATGACAAACCCTAACTTCTGTACCCCCTAAGACAAACCTCACTACAGGCTACAACATTTGACATGTAGGGCTAGCCTAGCTAGGAGGAAACCTCGGAAGACGAGGTTGGGTGCAAGTTTGGCGATGGAAATGCCGAAGGCGACGCGAGGAGCCTCGGCAGCGTTGAAATCGGCCGGACGTGCGAATTCCGAAAATCGGGTTGTACGCGAAGCAGTCAACCCCGATAAGGAATTCGGGAAAATTCCTTACACCATCCCCCCCCTTAAGAAAGGCGGTCAATATCCGAAACACGCTTGCGCGCCAAGTAATTACCAACAAGTGGCGAGGCGTTGAGCGAAGCGGATGGCACCCACGTGTCGTCTTCACCAGTGCGATCAGTCCAGCGGATTAAGAAATCCACGTGTCGGCCAGCTGCGTCAAGGCGGACCCGATGAGCCAGGATTTTCGAAGGGTCAAGGGTCGGCTCTGTTAAAATAGTAGGTGTGGGGCCTAGGCTTAGTAGCCTAGGCCCACACTAGGAGGTAGGTGGGCTTGCTCTAGAACTAGGAGTTAGGGTTTACGAAGGAGAATTGGAAGGAAGAATCGGGGACTAGGAAGCAGCAGGACACACAAAATGGCAAACCCTAAGGGGTTGTACTCACTATTGAGCACCCCACTGCAAGCTAGACAAATAACATTCTGACACACCCCCATAGCCAAAGTGGGGTGTAATCAGCAGAGCAGGCAAAGCAGTACAAGCTCAGGGTGGATCACAATGTCACCACACATTCTGAGCACAAGTTAAAGAAGCAATAGTTTAAAGTTAAGAATTACGAGCACAGCTAGTGGTAGTCACAACGGGCAAGTGAGGAGGAGGAGAGAGAGTGAGGGGAGAGGAGATAGGAGGAGACGGCTGAAGCTGCAGACACACGGGCAACAGGAGGCAGACTGGCACAGCGGCTACCGGACTAAGCGCCCGGACTACAGGAGTTACAGGCCCCGCGGCTAAAGTAGCGGCAGACGAGCAACGGACCCACGGGCGGCTGGCGTAGAAGTCTAGCTCACTGGGCTACCGGGACAGCGCCCCGGACTACAGGTGCTGCGGACAACAGTACGGCAACTTCCATGCAGCTTCCCCAAACAGTCCCACCCCCCTGACACACACCCGCTGCTACACCGCTAGCTCCACTCCCACGCACCCCCCTTAAACCCTAAACCCCAGTCTCCCACACAACCACCCCCCTCAGCGACAGCTGCAGCAGTGGGAGACGAAGGAGGAGGAGGAGCAAAGGGAGGAATGCACACCAGCCACCCCCATACCCGCAAACGGGGGGGGGGGGGGGGGGGGGGGGGGGGGGGGGGAGAGCAGAAACAGTGCGCACGAGGGCGCAGACAGTAGCAGAGCGCACGAGGGCGCGAGCGCGAGGTACGAGCAGCACCAGGCACATGCAGCACAGGGCAGCACAGGCACGGGCAGCAACAGGCACAGGCAGCACAGGCACGGGCAGCACAGGGCAGCACAGGCACGGGCAGCAACAGGCACAGGCAGCACAAGCACGGGCAGCACAGGCACGGGCAGCACAGGCACGGGCAGCACAGGCACAGGCAGCAACAGGCACAGGCAGCACAGGGTAGCACAGGCACGGGCAGCAACAGGCACAGGCAGCACAGGCACGGGCAGCACAGGCACGGGCAGCACAGGCACGGGCAGCACAGGCACAGGCAGCAACAGGCACAGGCAGCACAGGGCAGCACAGGCACGGGCAGCAACAGGCACAGGCAGCACAGGCACGGGCAGCACAGGCACGGGCAGCACAGGCACGGGCAGCTCCAGGCACAGGCAGCAACAGGCACAGGCAGCACAGGCACGGGCAGCACAGGCACGGGCAGCAGAGGCACGGGCAGCACAGGCACAGGCAGCAACAGGCACAGGCAGCACAGGGCAGCACAGGCACGGGCAGCACAAGCACGGGCAGCACAGGCACGGGCAGCACAGGCACAGGCAGCAACATGCACAGGCAGCACAAGCACGGGCAGCACAGGCACGGGCAGCACAGGCACGGGCAGCACAGGCACAGGCAGCAACAAGCACAGGCAGCACAGGCACGGGCAGCACAGGCACGGGCAGCACAGGCACAGGCAGCAACAGGCACAGGCAGCACAGGGCAGCACAGGCACGGGCAGCAACAGGCACAGGCAGCACAGGCACGGGCAGCACAGGCACGGGCAGCACAGGCACGGGCAGCACCAGGCACAGGCAGCAACAGGCACAGGCAGCACAGGCACGGGCAGCACAGGCACGGGCAGCACAGGCACGGGCAGCAACAGGCACAGGCAGCACAGGGCAGCACAGGCACGGGCAGCAACAGGCACAGGCAGCACAGGCACGGGCAGCACAGGCACGGGCAGCACAGGCACGGGCAGCACAGGCACAGGCAGCAACAGGCACAGGCAGCACAGGGCAGCACAGGCACGGGCAGCAACAGGCACAGGCAGCACAGGCACGGGCAGCACAGGCACGGGCAGCACAGGCACGGGCAGCACAGGCACAGGCAGCAACAGGCACAGGCAGCACAGGGCAGCACAGGCATGGGCAGCACAGGCAGGGCAGCACAGAGCGTACCGGGTCCAGGGGCGGCAGCTGCTGCAGGCGCTGGCGGCGGCTGCTGCTGCAGGCTCTGGCGGCGGCTGCTGCTGCTGGGCGGAGGTGGCTGCTGCGGCAGAGCGGCAGCGGCTGCTGCTGCTGGTAGAGCGGCGGCTGCTGCTGCTGGGTCGGTGGCGGCAGCTGCTGCAGGCCTGGCGGCGGCTGCTGCTGCAGGCTCGGCGGCGGCTGCTGCTGCAGGCTCTGGCGGCGGCTGCTGTTGCAGACTCTGGCGGCGGCTGCTGCTGCAGGCTCTGGCGGCGGCTGCTGCTGCAGGCTCTGGCGGCGGCTGCTGCTGCTGGGCGGCGGTGGCTGCTGCGGCAGAGCGGCGGCGGCTGCTGCTGCTGGTAGAGCGGCGGCTGCTGCTGCAGGCTCGGTGGCGGCAGCTGCTGCAGGCCTGGCGGCGGCTGCTGCTGCAGGCTCGGCGGCGGCTGCTGCTGCAGGCTCTGGCGGCGGCTGCTGCTGCAGACTCTGGCGGCGGCTGCTGCTGCAGGCTCTGGCAGCGGCTGCTGCTGCAGGCTCTGGCGGCGGCTGCTGCTGCAGGCCTGGCGGCGGCTGCTGCTGCAGGGCGGCGGCGGCTGCTGCTGCAGGATCTGACGGCGCCCCGCGGGTCCCGCAGGGGGCGTCGCGACGAGCAGGGGCGACGCCCCGCGGGTCCCACAGGGGGCGTCGCGACGAGCAGGGGCGACGCCCCGCGGGTCCCGCACGGACGTCGCGACGAGCAGGGCAACGCCGCGCGGGTCCCGCAGGGGGCGTCGCGACGAGCAGGGGCGACGCCCCGCGGGTCCCGCACGGACGTCGCGACGAGTAGGGCGACGCCGCGCGGGTCCCGCAGGGGGCGCCGTGACGAGCAGCGGGGAGGGCAGCGCGCAGGCCCCCTCGAGGGCGCTCCGACGGACGGGAAAACCGCCGCGCGCCCCGAGCGCGCGGCGGGCAGAAAAAGCCGCCACGCGTTCGAAGCGCGTGGCGGGATGAAAATGCAATGCCGCGCACCACGGGGCGCGCGGCGAATAGTACGGCAGCGGAAGTAGGTGGTGGGCCCGATGAACTAGGCGGCAGGATCATGCCGGCTCTAGATACCATGTTAAAATAGTAGGTGTGGGGCCTAGGCTTAGTAGCCTAGGCCCACACTAGGAGGTAGGTGGGCTTGCTCTAGAACTAGGAGTTAGGGTTTACGAAGGAGAATTGGAAGGAAGAATCGGGGACTAGGAAGCAGCAGGACACACAAAATGGCAAACCCTAAGGGGTTGTACTCACTATTGAGCACCCCACTGCAAGCTAGACAAATAACATTCTGACAGGCTCAGGAACAGGTCGCTCTGTCGGGGCAGCTTGCTGACGGGCGAGTTCGGTCGTGGCTGGCACGAACTTGCGAAGAAGGCTGACGTGGAAGGCGTCATGGATTCGCCAGTCGTCGGGTAGCAACAGCTTCGCAGTGACAGGTGTCACCATTTTGATAATCTTGAACGGCCCACAAAATCGTGGCCGTAGTTTCGACGGGCCGGGTAGGTTCAGGTTCTTCGTGTCAAGGAGCACTAATTGCCCAGTGGTCAAGACGAGTTCCCGGCGTAGAAGATCTGCATATTTGCGGGAAGTGGTATTCGCCTTGCGAATTGCGTCGGCTGCCTTTTCTCGGGTTTCCTGGAGTTCCGTCACAAAAGTTTGTGACCTCGGGACCGGGTTGTCGAGAGGAGTTGTGGTAGGAACCGTCGGGTCCATCCCGTAATTCAGGAAAAACGGGGAGTGATTAGTCGTGCTGGACGGCGCGTTGTTGAAAGCAAATTCCAACATTGCGAGTGAATCCTCCCTGCGGGCCGGGTCGGGGCAGTTCGTCCTGATCAGCTGCTCCATGGTCTGATTGGTCCGCTCCGTTTGACCGTCCGTCTGTGGGTGATATGCCGTTGAGAACTGTAGCTTCGTGCCGTACTGCGCCCACGTCTCCTTCCAGAACTTTGATGTGAATCTCGGGTCTCGGTCGCTGATGATCGCCGAGGGGATGCCGTGCAGTCGCACGACCGTGGAAATGAAAAGTCGCACAGTTTCTTCGGCTGTAATTGTCGTTCGGCATGGTGCGAAGTGCGCCATTTTCGTGAAGCGATCGACGACGACGAGAACAACGTCGTTGCCGGACGGCCCATCTGGCATCCCCGTGACGAAATCCATCGTCACTTGCTACCACGGTCGTTTGGGTGGCTCGAGGGGTTGCAGCAGCCCAGCTGGTCGTTGACGTGTCGATTTCATAGCTTGGCACACCCTGCATGAGGACACATATCGCTGCACGTCGTTAGAGGAGTCAGGCCAATAATATTGACGGTGCAGTAATTTTTGGGTTTTATCAACCCCGAAGTGTCCGGAAAAATTCGAATCGTGAACCTCCTGGATAAGAAGTTCACGCAGCAGCCGGTAAGCGGGAACCCAAATCCGGTCGGTTCCGGCTTTTAGGTAATAATCCCCTTTCTGCGTCGTGGCCTGCTGATGATTCCCTGTCGTGAAGAATGGGTCCGTGGTGTAGCCGTGGGTGAATAGTCCTGTAAGTAGCGGGTTCGAATGGGTGATGAGTACTGCAGCGGATTGTACTGTCGGTCGGGTCAGGGCGTCGGCGATGTTATTCGTGTCAAACATTATATATGTTGTGTTAGTTTAGGCTACAGTGGGTTAGCCTATAGGGGGTACACAATTCTAGGGTTAGGTACTTGTACTCATTTCACTGCTAGTTCATCCATTCCTGTTCAGTGATTCCAACATGGTATAGAGCAGGTCCTTCCTAGGACCGAAATTTTCTAAGGGCCCACCACTACGTATCTACCTACCTACCTACCTACCTGTGCCCTAGGGCGCCTCGACGTGTCACGCCCCTAGAGGCCCCTCTTGACGGCCCCGCGCTAGCCCCGTTCAGGCCCCGTCGGCCCCACGCCCGCTCTCCCTAGCGGCCCCGTTCAGGCCCCGTCGGCCCCTTGCTAGCCCCGTTCAGGCCCCGCGCTAGCCCCGTTCAGGCCCCGTCAGCCCCGTTTCAGGCCCCGTCGGCCCCGCGCTAGCCCCTCTCAGGCCCCGTCGGCCCGCGCTAGCCCCGATTCAGGCCCCGTCGACCCCGTTTCAGGCCCCGTCGGCCCCGCGCTAGCCCCTCTCAGGCCCCGTCGGCCCGCGCTAGCCCCGTTTAAGGCCCCGTTGGCCCCGTTTCAGGCCCCGTCGGCCCCGCGCTAGCCCCTCTCAGGCCGCGTCGGCCCGCGCTAGCCCCGTTTCAGGCCCCGTCGGCCCCGCGCTAGCCCCGTTTCAGGCCCCGTCAACCCCGTTTCAGGCCCCGTCGGCCCCACGCTAGCCCCGTTCAGGCCCCGTCGGTCCCTTGCTAGCCCCGTCAAGGCCCCGTTTGGCCCCGCGCTAGCCCCGCCCAGGCCCCGATCGGCCCCTCTAGGGCCCCAACCGACCCGTGCCCACCACCTAGAGGCCCCGGGCGGCCCGTTCCCGCCGCAGCACACGAGGGAGAGCGGGCGGCCCGTCCCCGCTGTGACCCGAGCCGCGCGACCCGAGCCGCGCGCCCCGAGCCGAGCCGCGCGCCCCGAGCCGAGCCGCGCGCCCTGAACCGAGCCGCGCCACCCAACCGAGCCGCGACCCGACCTGAACCGAGCCGCGCCGCCCTGCCCTACCTGGTTCGTCCTACCTGCTTCTCTTACTGCTACTGCTGCTATTTCTACTGTTCCTATGGCTAGCCCACAGGTTCTCGTGTTCGATGCTGAGGGCCGCCCTGTGAAGTTTGACACCTGGCTCGATGACCTGCACCTCTACCTACAGCTCACAGCCAAGGATGACATCTCACTGTACGATCACGCCCTAGGCCATGTCACTGCCCCTGCTGCTACTGCTGACAGCACTGCTCGCTCACAGTGGCAGACTCGTGATGCCCACGCTCGCTTCGCCATTCGCAACTCCCTGCCGATAGACGAACGCGAGCACTTTGGTCAGCACAAGACTGCACAAGCACTGTACACAGCTGTAGTTGCTCGCTACTCCTCACCTGCCTCTGCCGCACTAGGCCGTCTCTCCCTCCCCTACATGTTTCCCGACCTGGCCTCCTTTCACACAGTCGCTGACCTCATCACGCACCTCCGTACTAGTGAGGCCCGCTTCCGTGCCGCCATGCCTGCTGAGTTCCTTGCCACGCACCCCCCTCCACTCTGGCTCACTCTCTACCACCTAGTCACCCGCCTCCCTGACACACTGCGTGCTGTCAGGGACCACTTCCTAGCTCCTTGCCCCACTGAGCTCACCATTGCCCTCCTCGAGAAGGAGCTACTTGCAGCTGAGACTAGCATAGTCGCTGTAGGTGCCTCTCGTGGCGACCCCCGTACCCCGTTCTTTGAGGGGTGTTCTCCTTCCCCCCTTCTTCCCTCTGTCGCCTCTGCTGCTGCTGTCGACCTTCTTGGTACTGAGAAGGTCGGCGCTGCGTCTGCCTCGAGCGGACGCCGTAGCGGCAAGGGCAAAGGGGGCAAGGGTGGTGGCGGTGACGGCGGGGGAGGCGGCGGTGGGGGCGGTGGAGGCAGTGGGGGTGGTGGCTCGGCTGGAGGGGCGAGTGGTAGCGGTGGGGGTGGTAGCGGCAGCGGCGGGGGAGGTGGCAGGAGTGGAGGCGGCGGTTGGGGTGGCGGAGGACGAGGCGGCGGCAGGGGTTGGGGTGGTCGAGGAGGTGGCAGCAGTGGTGGTGGCCGTGGAGGCACTGGCGATGGCCAGGGCCAGCAGCACACTCCCTCGCCCCAGGAGGTCCGTGAGTGGTACTCTCAGCACGGGGGTGGGGATGGTCTTAGCTGCACGTACGTCATTCGCACTGGTGACCGCACTGGTCAGCAGTGTGGACGACCGCACGCCACACAGCGCTGCTTCTCTCGTCTTGACGACGCTTGGCGTGTTCAGTTCCCTCAGGCCACTGAGCTGCCCCGCTGGCTTGATCTCCTGAAGAAGGGG